TCTATTACTGCACATATCCCCCAATTTTTTCTTATATAAATTGGGAAAATATTGTTAATGTATTTTAGCTTCCTCTAAAAGCACAGCCTGAGACAAAGCCCTGAGTACAAGCGATTTGTTCTAAAATTTATCCCATGAAATAGGAGGGAGGGTGACAAAGGAAATGGGGTTCATAACGTAAGAATGTGTTGCCAAGTCTACTGCTTTGGGCAACAGCACATTCATTTTACCAGGACCTCAGAAAGGTACAGGGCAACTCTCAGGACTGTAACTACTTACCTATGGACATTTGCCTACAGGGGGCTCTGTAGTCCCAGAGAAGGTCTGTGGACAAAGCACAGATGCTGTGTTTGGGATGCAGCTTTGCAAGTCCAATGTTATTAAAGGTGGGCTGCGGCATCAGTCTCCACACTGTCTTTCACCCCTCACGTCTATGCGGAGTCTTCTCTGACACAATTCTTTCAAAGCAAAAGTTGGCTGCAGCCTCTACAAAGCCTTAATGTGAGAGAGTTAACAGAAGAGGCCCTACTACTGCAACTGCTCCAGGGCTCTGACTGACCTTCATTATCCGCCTCCTGCCTCATCCTCAGCCAGAATTTCAGTGACAAACATTGCTTGCTTCATGGGGTCCCCCAGACCTCCATCTCTGAGCACCCCTAGTTGCTGAAACTCCCTTTTACTATTACGATCTAGTAGGGAAATGCAACGTGAATCCACTAAGGACCAGCCAGACTCCTGCTCATCCCACTGTGTGGCAGCAACCTACATCCTCATATCCGTCAAAATCTATTAGCTCTGTGTGTTTACTGTTCTCATGGCTGAGACAAAATGCCTGACACTGACAGTTAAAGGAAGAAAGGTTTATTTAGCTCACAGTTTGCAGAGGTTTCAGTTCAGTTGGCTGGCTCCAAACTAAGGTGGTATGGCAGAGGGGCATCAAAAGGGAGAAATAAACAACTCACAACAAATGGAAGCCAGAAGGCTTCCAGCAAACTGTCTTTCTGTCCCCAAGGGCGAATAGCACTCACTCAGAGCGGGGCACCCTCAGAACTGTGCCAAACCAATCAGTGGGCTAATTTAGTAATCACATACTCCTGAACCTAGTACCACATACCCTACATCCAGCCACCTTGGAAAAGTCCCACCTATGACTATATGAAACTTTGGGGGGACATTTAGATACAAGTCAGAATAATCTCTTCTTGCCTGTTAGCCTACCTGCAGAAGGAACTCAGGGACATGCAGTCTCCAGATTCTGGCAGAGGGGTGCTATTGTTTCCTGCCACTAATGGGTATCCCCTCATGGAACTGTTTCCTACCTGGACACCAGGCTGTACTCTAGCAGATTCCATGGCTGTATATCCTAAATCATGTTGCTAGGAATGACAGTAAGAAATAGCTACTCCCAACCTCTAGGTTTGTGGAACTGTGTCTTTGCTCCCAAATACTTACATTCTATCTCTTGGGGGTAGCACCCACATATCAAGCTCTGATTCACTACATATATTCTAACCCAAGATGCTGTCCTAGAGCTAGGACTTTCAGCAAACCTTTAAGGTATCTTTTTATCCTTCTATTGGTCTGACTGCTTGGGGATAATGCAGTAGAAAAGCAGTATATCACGTGACAAACCCACATATTGTCACACCTCTTTAACTATAAAATGAGGTTTTGGGCCTAATGAAACATTACAGGTGATCACATGTTGGTAAATGGAGCATTCTCTAAGTTCTTTGTTATATTTATTTATTTATTTATTACATTTATTTATTGTGTGTGTGTGTGTGTGTGTGTGTGTGTGGCCAGCTCAGCCCACCAGGGGGCGGGGCTGGCTGGCATGTGGTGCTGGAGGATTGAACTGAGGTCCCTGTGCTTTGCCAAGCTTGTTTCAAGTAGGTGCTTTAGACCACTGAGCCATCTCTCCAGTCCTCTCTAAGTTCTTTGATAGTGGCATTAACCTAAGGCACTGTAGACAAGAAAGACCAACTCATACCCAAACCAGGGATCAATTCAAGTAAGAATAAGTGAGTGGAGCATAAAAGATGGAATGGAACCAGTTTCCCACTGAATGACTAGTTGGTTTCCTCCAGGGATGGTGCCATTTAGTAGGGGGCAAGCTTGATCTCAACTGCTAACTGGTGAGATATTCGACAGACAGTAAAAACTGGCTAAGCAACAATGACAAGGTGGTGCAGCCCCCTCTTCCCACAGACGACGACCGCCTTCTGGAGAAGCTTGGACTCAGCCCCAGGGATGCCGACTTTACTGTACCTGAGCCTGCCTGGCCTCCTGACTTGGTAGATCTGACAACACCCAGCGCAGAACAGGCAGCTGTGACTGCATGCTCATTTATGCACCCGTCAAGAACTCGGCCTCTGCCAGCCTCTATCAGCAGCACGCCAGACACCATGGTTAACTTGGTGAGCGATCTTGCCCCAGAACCCTAGGAGTATGCGCTGAGATTATGCTCCTAGGGCTTGCCAGATGTACCACACAGGGGTCTTACAGTCCACAAATGAAGCTAACCCAAGCCACTGATCCTGCTAAGTCCTGCAGGGGAACCCATTCCCCAATCTGCATCTTTAGCAGAGCTAGCCCTCTTTTTTCCCTGGGTCACATCCAATGCTGGTAATTTTTCAAGCTACCCAAAAACTGTGTCAGATGGTATTCCCAAGTATGATACACACAGACTCCGAAAGCAGACAGGTGCATCAAGTGCTGTACCCCCTTGATAGGGATGTACAATGCAGTAACTTGTCCTTACACTAAAGGAGATATCCCAGCTTTCCCTAGAAGACTGCACCCCTAAGAACTTCACTGATTTGACAACTCCATTCTCAGAGGGTTTATCCTTTGACATGTACTGTTTTGCCAACACTTGTCACTTTCTTCATGTCTATTTAGTGTGATGTTATCAATTGTATGTGGAATGTCCACATGACAAAGTTCCCATGGACTAGATTGTAATAGAGAACACTAGTTAAAATAGCTTTGGATCAAGATAACGTGTATGGTTGCTCTTCCTTTATAACTGCTAACTGCTCTTGATCCTACTTACAACTGAGAATTGGAAGGAATATTCACTATATCAGCATTTTTAGTATCACGTTAGAGATACATTAATCAGTTCTAAAAAAGCTACACCTGGCATGGTTGCTGTAATTGGGGACATTGTCATATTTAGGTGGCCCTACCACCCTAAATAGGCCTGGTCTTGTCTGTAGCTGGGGATACCACTTTCGTTAGGTTTGTGGTAGTCCACTCTTACAGGGTCCATTCAGATGGACAGAAGGGATGAAATCCAGATCATGAGAACAACATAATCTGCAACTCCAACTCCCCCTAAAATTCAATATTATTTATTTACTATATTGGGGGATAACCTGCAGGGAGTTTGTACCTTGCTCTTCTTACCATATGGTTCATACTTCACAAATCACAGATCAATATATTTAAGTTCTGTCAATTGCTAAGTAAAATCACTCCAAGTATACCCTGGATCAGAAAAGCAACTACAAGGACTTGGGCCAGGATTCCATTTGGCATTATTTCCACAAACCCTCACCCTACCCAGAGGATTAGTGCCTTGATGCCAGCTAAGATCCCATATTTAACCTTGATAGGTTTGGTTAGTTTCTTTTACAAAGTAAACTAGCTTCTTAATTTAAATGGTGGCTCTAGGTACCTTTAGGGAAAGATTGGAAAAATAATTTTTGTACATACTCATGGCGAAAAAATAGGCTCTTTCCTTAAAGAGGCCATGTTTCCTTTCCTAGTAATGGGCTCTGGTCTCACAAGTGGCTCCGATTTAAACAGAGTAAGGCTAAGTGCCTCCTTTGGCAAGCACACAGACCAGGGTTTGATCCCTGGTCCCCATGTCTTGCCAGCCCCATCCCCAGGGCATGCTGAGCCTGCGACTAAGTCTGGGCGTGGTGGTGCACGCCGGTAATCTCAGTGCTGGGGAGGCTGAAAACAGGAGGATCACTTCAAGTCTGAGCTGCATAGTGAGACCTTGTGCCAAATACATGAAGAGGGAGAGGGAGAGGGAGAGGGAGAGAGAGAGAGAGAGAGAGAGAGAGAG